GGCTGGTATCCATTAATCACTCCTTTAACATGGTTACAGTTTTGCTACCCTTAACAAAACTCCCTGTAAGTATTATTATGTAGATGCTACCTGCTACCTCTGAGAGCTTTAAAGAAAGGTTCTAAAGTCAGGATCATCTCCCTCTACCTCCTGATGCAGCCCAGGATACCATTAACCTATTTGGGGCAAGGGCCTACTGGTTGGCTCATGTTCAACTTGGTGGTCACCAGGGTGCTCAGGTCTGAAAGCCAGCAAGATGAGTTTTTACACCTTTCTTCCACATGAAAAAAACAGGGGTGAAGAAACCTGTGCACACATGCCAAATGGCACTTCACTGCAGGGCTATCACAATTTATTTTTAATCTTAAATATTTTGAGTGCAGAATCACACTGTAATGAGCGCTGTTAAAAGCTTTTAACACTGGGCAAAACTGAGTGTTGGGACTAGTTCCACAAGCTGCTTAACTATTTAATGAATATATTTCTTAGGTTAGGCAAATACCAGAGCTTGATTAAAAGTGACTGCATGGTCTGAAGTCATTGGATGCATAGAAGCTAGATTTTAATTATGTCACCTAAGCAAGTCATGTTGATGGATTGTTTTGGTCTCTTCAGGACAATAATTTTGGTAATGCCTCACTTGTAGTAAAGAACGTAATTTGACAACTCTTTATACCAGTACTTACTCGTGTTAACCAAAGTGTTTGCTGTAACTGATGACTAGGGTTATACCTTAAAGTAAAACCTCCACTCTGGCCTCCTGTGTCCTGGCTGTTACAGGCAGAGTCAGGCAGGTGTGCTCTCCTAAAGCAGTTGCAGTCAGCTAGTCAAAGTCACCCATCCAACCAAAATGAGAAATTACTAGTTTTAGGGATAATTTCCATGGAACCATTCTTCCTCAGGCATTTCAGCTTAACCTGTGCCACTCCCTTAGAATACGTAAATTTTTTCCAGTCCTCAGTCCCTGTTTGATGTTCAGGTACTCACCTAAGAGAAGCAAAGGGTCAGAGCATCACAGCCCACTGCAGGCAGCACCTGCCCAGCTGTGTCGCAGCATAGTGACCATGTGCAAGTACTCCAGCATATGCCTCTCTAGGAGAGGGGATTACAGCCCTACCTCCCCTTTTCCCAGTAAGTGGTCCTGATAAAGAGAATTTTTCCCCTTCCATATGTTGGGCATGAGTAACTATTACTCTTCAACTAAGGTTGCCAATTCATTAAAAAGATACCACTATTACATATGGAAAACAGTATCAAATATTTGGAAATGGTTGGCAAATTACAGTATTAGCTGTAATAGGCTCACACATATATTCTGAGACTAAGTCTGCAAGGCCCCTTTGGCACAGCTTCTGAGTGTTCAAAAGAGGAATACTGGGGTAGGTCTCACTCATTCCAAAACTGGCAACTTCTAAGTGATGCTTAAATTTCCAGATTTACAGGCTTAGAGGTAATAAAACAGACAAACAAAATCAACCTCTAGCATGTAATTCCTCCCCTAAGGGGAAAAATAATGTCCTGACACTAATAGGAAATTATCAGGGATTTCAGGGAAGGATGGGGAAGGCTCTCTGAGATCTCAGGAATGCGTGAGAGAGCAGAGAAGAGGAGGTGGCTGAGAGTACAGTCTTTGAAGAAGCTGTTTGGAGCTGTTTAGTTCAGGTATAACTTCAATAGTTTAATCCCACCATCGCTTAAATTCTTGCTGCAAGCTGACCTACTAATCCTGTGTTTAAAGGCACAGTCTTCTATCACCCACACTTACCTGCTAAATTTTTGATCAATTAAGTTTAATTTATAGGCATATTAACAAGAATGGATCTGGAGAAGTGCTTGCTGTGAGTTACAGAGCATCAAGGTTAAAGGCATCCAAATCCTTCATTTTGTCCCTGTGCACAGGGGACATTCTTTCCAGTTGCTCATCATAACCAAAAATCCTGTTCTTGAATAGGATAACCAAGAAAAAACACTAAGAAAGAGGACTAGCTGTGTGTTAGTTCTGGTTCTCTAAAACACTAAACCTCCAGCCTAATAGTAAATATTAACAGTAATTCCACCGGTGTCCCCCGTCATGTCCCCCCCCAACACTCTCAGATGTTCTGGACTGCTTAACTTTTCTTTATACTGTGCTTCATTCCTTTATGCCAGAATATCCATCTGATCCTTCACATCTCTTAGAAACCTCCCCCCCATCCCCAGTGCAGCTGGGTCTCACCACACAGGTCAGGAGCCCAGATCTTCCACCGTGGCTGAAGCTGCTAACAGGCTGTCCACCTCGACCACAGCACTTGGTTCAACACACAGCAACAGCCATGCCATGCAGACAGGGGCAGATGCTTCAGGAGACAGGTGAGTTTAGAAAACAAGAAAGAAAAGCAAGTATATTTCATTAAATCCCTAATTTTCAACATAACCCTCCCTGTGTGCAGCATTCCTGTATGTGTAGTATGACTCTGGGAACCTTGTGCTCCATCCTATCGAACAATGGTTTACTTCCTAATGGGAAATGATGCTTGACTTTGTTTTCCTTTGTTTGTCCTGTCAAATGTTCAAAAGATAAAGTGTTTGCAGGCATTAAACTGAAGGAAAGTCTGCTTCAGAGTAGGTGTCCATCATGAGAGGAACAGCAAAGATTATGTCTCTATGTACATCGGAGAGGATGTTTGCCTATGTGACCCAGAAAAAGCTAATAGGGGACAAGTACAAAAGCCAAAGCAAGGAGTAATTATATTAACTATTTTGCACTAAGAATGCTTTAGCAGCAAAAAAATAGTAACGTACCAAGTACAGTATTTAGATTCTAGATACATGAGTCTCCCTCTTCCTTTCTCCAGCACAGACACACTGATGTTTTCTCTGCCACTCCAATACCAGAAGCATTTTGCAGTGTGATCTTGTGGAGAATCGTAAGGCTTCTGGACAAACAAGCTGTCAAAGACAACAGTATTTGGGGGTTTGATATGGAACTGGTGGAGCAAGTCCAGAGAAGGGCCACAACGAGGATCAGCAGACTGCAGCACCTTCCATATGAAGATGGGCTGAGAAAGTTGGGGCTGTTCAACCTGGAGAAGAGAAGGCTGCGTGGAGACCTCATAGCAGCCTTCCAGTATCTGAAGGGGGACTACAGGGATGCTGGGGAGCGACTCCTTATTAGGGACTGTAGTGATAGGACAAGGGGTAACGGGTTCAAAGTTAGGGGAAGTTCAGGTTAGATGTAAGGAAGAAGTTCTCTACTATGAGGGTGGTGAGGCACTGGAATGGGGTGCCTAAGGAAGCTGTAGATGTCTCATCCCTGGCAGTGTTCAAGGCCAGTTTGAATGGAGCTTTGAGCAACCTGGTCTGGTGGAAGGCATCCCATGGCAGGGGGCTTGAAACTAGATGATCAGGTCCTTTCCAACCCAAAACATTCTATGATTCTGTTTCAAGGACAGAGATAAAAGCTAAGATAGACCAGAAGACTAAATCAGAGCTGGTTTACTACATACCTCAAATAATTAAACCAGCCAATTCTCAGAAAAATTCTTTAAACTCAACTATTCAGTCTTCTCAGTACAAGGGGTTAGAGCAACTAAAAAGCAAAACATCACTGATTAGTTTCAGTAGTGGACAAACTTGTTTACAAAATACAGCTAGGTATTTTTCTCTGCAGTGAGTAATGCTTTTTCTTTTCCAATAGCAAACTCACAGTTCAAAATGTTATTAAGCTTTCACTAGTGTAATCTGGGTCTCAAAAGCATAAAAACTGAAGTGCCAGCCAGGCTTTTGCCAGATTATTATGGACTTGAAAAGATTATAGTTGCATCTTTCAGTAAATACTAGACAGAGAAGGAAGATTTCCTTCCCAAGTACAGAGCAGGCATTCCTTTATTCAGTACTAGTGCTAAGATTTAGTAAATATCATCTGAAAAACCATCTTCTCCTTTTGTTTACTGTTAATATTTCATGTCATTTTCTATTATTTACACCCCTGTTTTCTGATTGTTTTCATACTCATTATTTTGAAACTATAGAAGCAGCATCTTTTCCTGCTATTATGCTGGTTGCACTTAACAATAAATGCAACTCTCTCAGTTTCTAAACTGTATTCTTTGCCTTGCTGTCTGATTTCCTGTGTTGTATGGTGCAGAGCAGTCATGCTACAAGAAATTGAGAGACATAGACAGACATCTAATGATACACACCTTTGCAAACTACCACCAGCAACTTAAGCCTTTTAGGACATTATTTTTCTACTTCATAGTGCTGGTTTCATTTCCCAGCTATCAAGCATTCTAGGGGAAAAAAGTAAAAACCAGTAAGAATCAGACTGGTTTGGGCTGGAAGGGACCTTAAAGCTCATCCAGTTTCAACCGCCTGCCATGGGTTGGAACACCTTCCACTAGACCAGTTTGATCAAAGCCCTGTCCAACCTGGCCTTGAACACTTCCAGGGACACAGTTCGCACACTCTGGTAAGGAACATTTTGCCTAAATGTTCCCTGCTTATTTAGACAACAAGAAAGCCAGCAGACCAGAGTGGAAGAGCAAGAAGTGGACAATACGCTTTTGTCTATAGCACTTGACTGGTAAGAGGGCTGCATTTCACTTTTGTCACAGTCCAGGACGTGCAGGTCTCACCTCGTTATGGGGCCCACATATGCAAGAGCATTCCAGGTCTTCCAGTTTACATGTAGCTGGTGAAATTTAGGGAAGGAATGCTGCTCTGCCCAAGCTTTCATAACAGCCAATAAATGAAACAAAAGTAAGAGTAAAGTTTAAACGAATAAATACCAGTTAAAATATTTGCAGTTTGTCAAAACCAATGAATTCTTCCCATTGTGAAAGCAGTGTGTGATGCTTTAAGTCTAGGATGCTGCAGCTTCTGAGACAGCGTGATTTGGACAAACATAGCTATTACTTCCTTGGCGGTATTCTACAATGATGCAAGTAACAGCTATGCAGATGGAAACAGATTCATATGACAAATAAAACAGGACAAAAAAATTATCAAAGAATAAGGCATTTCAGTTCAAACTAAGTCTTTATTCATATGGAAAATACTACTTTTCTTTTTGCAAATGATGCTAATAAATAAAAATACTCAGAAAGAACCTTGCTTAGAGTTAAATGAAGTGACTAGTTACAGCCACACAAAGCTTTTAATTCCCGTTAAAACCACGCCAACAATCATGCAGACTGGCTACAAGAAAGCAATATAAACTATATTTTATTTTGTGCAATCTTATCATACAGTCTTAATGCTACCTTCTTCTAAACCATTTCACAAAGATTGAAATGCAGTTTCAAAACAAATATTAAGGGACATATTCTACACTTTTAATCCACAACAGAGCTGGGTACAGCGTAAACCCATAAATGTATAAGAAGTTAAGCATCTAAAGAAGGTAAAAGAAAGCAGACCCCATTCTGAAAATTCAGACATGTTTATAAACATAAGAGAAGGAAAGCTCACACCCATGAGTTCTCAACAGACAAATACATTATTAAAGCATAACAATAAATTATATTAAATTTTATAACGTTCACCCTTAGAATGGTTATTTCTGAGGAAATCTCACTTAAAAAGCACACGAAAATGTTCAGCACTAGGAGCTAAACTAACTTTACATATCTCAGTTTCCCACTTGGATGCAATTTTGTTTTATAACAGACTTCAGCTTTGTGATCATATTTTTTATCATATCAATTTAAAAATAAACTGAAAAATGTTGCTGTGCATCAAACACATCATCAAGGTGAGAAACAGGCACTTAACAGTATAATGTGCAAGGCAAAACCTTTACTGGTCACAGTATAAATAGTTTCTTCAGGAGGGAAATTAAAGTTCTCAGCCCATATTTGAGAGCAAAATATTGAGGGCTGTTAGCAGATTTTTTCCCTGTTCTTTTACGTCAGCACCAAGAACCAAACTAAATACTAACTTATGCCTTAGAGGGTATTCCATAAACTATAAAATGCAGCATACTTTACCCAAGAATACTAATTCCTTCCTATAATTAACCTCAGCATATGTACTTGCCAATGGCAACTACAGAGTTTACTCACAGACTAAATGATGCAAGATAAATGCTACCCCTTTCTCCTCTATTAGTATTTTTTCTAATACATAATGCCAATTTTAGAAATATATTTGCCACTTACAAGATCCTGTTTTGCAGCACAGAACACTGATGTTCCTTTACATAAACTTAAGAACAATGTTTTTTAACATCCTATTAATATCAGAAAAAATAACAAATATTTTGCTACTGTTTCCCTCCAGGCACATCTCAACAGAAACCTCAAAAAAAAAAAAATAGCTATGCAGGAACTGCAAGGCGGAAAATTAGACATGAATTTGAAGAGAGAGGAGAAAGAGAGCTAAGAAAGGAGTAATGTGTCAGAAACAGAAACAAGGGACAAGCTCAGAAGAAAATTGCATGCACCCCTTTTCATCAGTGTAAGCTTCTTGCAAAAACACATGTAACAAGACATCCATTATATAAAGGTATAGGCTTTCCTGAAAAATGCTGATTTTCTCTGAAATGCTAACCTGATCTTCCGACCGTACCGGCCCTGTTGCTAGGCAGTCAACAAGTCTTCAGTTCGGTTACACCAGCTTAACAATCAGGAGAGAAAAGGCCTGCTGATCATTTCTTATGAAACTTTTGGTTTCATTCTTTTTCATAAATGTTAAAGTAGTATTTATATAGGATATAAACAAAATGGAAACCAACTTTGGATCTGGCATCAGCCTCACTGCTAATGAGAGACAATATGCTAGAAAGAGGCACTTTTAGTATTCTTATATACATTTCAAACCTCAAGTTTAACACTTCTCCTTCTTTTACCAAAAAAAAAAAAAAAAGAAAAAAAAAGTATCAGTAGCTAACAAGACAGAGCTTTATAACAATGCTTCGGAAGTTGTGTGCATGCACATAGTAGTAATGGCTCAGTTACTCAGTTACCCTGAAAACACCAGAGTATAATTCAATCACTGCTTATGGGGCAGGGCAGGGCAGGAAGGAACAGCACAGTACAAAGCCAGAAAGTTGTTTGTAGCACAAGGACCAGCTACAGTAAAAACGAAAACATGAGCCCTCCATAAGAAGCAACTTATCCCTAGATTCAGGACTACAGATACTGAATATTGAGATCTTCTTATACTCTACTCACTGCTGCTTTCCAAATTTTCAATCATTTTTGGCATAACATGCATCTTAAAAGCTAAGCAGCTTAGCTTTGTCAAACAACGTTCAATATCAAAACAAAAACACCAAAACAAATCTCTGGAAGACCCCATTTGACCTGACTATTGGTGAAGATCCTGTGATGGAAGGAGTAACATTAGAATAGTATTTTCCCATTTCATACACAGTATAGCACATTGTGACAGTTGAGCATCTCGTGTGCACAAGCTGAAGCATATGCTGAGGCTGAAGATTTGGAAAACAGTCTACCATACAGTCTTAAGTATAAGCATTCCCCCTGCAAGTGACAGATCAGTATTCTTAGTTAAAAATGGACAGCATCAAAACTCAAATTTTGAGTGGCCCTCAAACACCAGAAAAACCCCAAGACCTCAAGCCAGTAGAAGCTCCTACATAAGGCAGTCAAATTTACAACCAGTGTATACATTCACTAAGGAATAACATTTATGGTTTTTTTTTGGTAAAACCAACAATCTAACATACTGCAGTCTGAATGTGAAATATAGGCACAAAATAGATTCTCTACTTTTCTTCAGTGTGGAAAACATAGCTATTTAACAATGTATTAAGAAAATTTACTATCAGGTGAGCAAAAATTTGTAACAATCTGAGTAAAATAAAGTACTGTATAAAGGTGCAATATTGAGCAGATTTGATTTTGGTTTAAACATACAAGTAAATCATGGAACTCTTCTCTTCTTATCAATAAAGTATTTCATACTATCAGTATCATTCTAGTTCTTCCCAATTGTCTGTAAGGTTACCTTTGCTTTGACGTCTAATACTAACCAGCTTGCCAGCTGATTTGATACTCCACCTAGAACTGTTTCCTGAGCTGGCCAGGTTGGTGTATTTTGTGGAGCCTTTGGTTTCATCTTCCCAGCCTGACCAGGCTGTATAGTCACTTAAAGCAGTTGCTGCATCACTGGTAGAGTCAGCAGCGGTAATCTGCGGTGGTTCCCATCCCTCAATCTCATCAGGTTTCCTAGATGGGACATTCTGCTTTATCACCAAACTGTCCCAAAAACCTGGCTTCTTTTCAGACTTCATCTCTTCCTTTAACTTTAGGTTTGTTCTAGAAAGTAACAATGATGAGGTGATTAATGCCTTCATTTAACAATGCATGTAATAGTTCTTAATAAACATTTGATTGATTTATTATGTTTTACAGTAAGGAATGCTAATCACACAGCTTATGACAGCACATTCATTACTGTCAGCTTCAGGGAAAACTTCATGCAAGCCTAAACACAGTAGAATCTTACAGTGATAAATCATAAATCGCCTGAGTATGGCTGTTTCCTATTATAAAAGAGCTTACTCCCCACCACCACAGGGTGAATTGCAAAGAACTGCCCTTGAGAAATGTATGAAGCACTAAAACAATTTAGGACTTTAACAAAAAAAAAAAAAAACAACCCCAAAACAAACCCAGAGATAGGACAGTAGAAGGAATACGAAAATGTTTTGTCTACCACCAGCTTTAACAATCACTCACTGTGTTTCCTAGTTTCATACACCTGTTATCACCTTGCCAGTTCAAACTTATACCCTTAAAATAACTGATGTACACAGTATTAAGACTTTAAAGATATCAACATTTTTTTCATAACAATTTGCACTGTATTTTGAAAACAGCTGTTTTGTATTTCTGGTAAGAACTCCCAAAATTCTCCTCCCAAAACCAAGAAAAAACAATCTTTGTTGCAATTTTTCTCTCAAAGAGACATTTGAAAGGCTACTTATATTATTACATTTCTTATCCCATTAATAACCTTCAATCTGAATTATTTCTTATCCCATTAGGAACCTTCAGTCTGAATTATTTCATATCTGCAGCATGGAGTATTTAAAATACAGAAGGTAAAATGCTTGCCCATAAGTTGATATGCTGGGTTGTGTAGGTAATCAAATAATGGACCACAGGGAAAGGGTGAATACCAGTGGTGAAACACACGACCTTCAGGGTTCAATGAGCTAAACAGCAAACTGAAAGCATCATCTGCTGATAAATGCCTCAGCCACAAATAAATCATCACCGAAGTATTTAAAATATTTCTATTAAAAGAGCTTTATCCATTAAAGCTTGATGCTATCATATTTAAATAGAAGCAACTGAACCAATACCTTTAAAATTACTTCTCCTTTGCTGAATTTTGAATGTAGGATTATTCAGAATTTCCATCTTGCTAAAGCCAGCAAGACTCTGAATGCTTTTCTCATATCGTGAGTAGCACACATGAAAAGTTGTATTTTTCTTTAAAAGTCCTGGTATATAGTTACAGGAAAATACCCCCAACCTTAAAATACAGGCAGTTTTCATAGTAATGCTAAAACAGCTTTCCACATTTGTGGTACCTCTGTTTTCATACTTCCACTCTATTCATTGGGTTGATTCTTACATACAGCATCAATTGCAAAAGACCCTTAAAGCAACCTAGCATCTTGGTAACACTCATAGCATTGTACAGGCAAAGTAGCTGGGAACTTCTGGGAAGTTTTATTGAACAGGTTCAAATGAAAATGGAAACGTATGTATTTACATTCTAATTTGTTTATACATATCTACTTGCACTCTGAAACACCTAGATTTCAAAGTAAACTGGAAACAAAATATATTACAGCAAGTCTTATCAAAGCTAATATTTGGCTGGAACAGGAATACTGATAAGTGTCACATTTTTTTCCTGTTTGTAACCAAGGTAATTAGGTAGCACATGTAGGTAAAGCCTACCTATACTTGTAACAGCAAAACATTCTGTCTTGGGAAGAGGTCTGTGCTGTAGCAGAGCTGTTTCAAGTAAACACCTCAGTTTCAACAGTGAACAAGTGCACATCCTGGTATATAGCTACTCCACTTAAGCTTTTTAGGTGTAGGCAAGACCTCAAAATAAGAAGTAAAGCATGTAAAAAAAGGGATTTGTAAACTCACCAGAATTAATCCTGAAAAAGAAATGGGGAGGTTATGGTCCTCTTACTCAAACTTTTACTCCTTTTCTACAGTAAAAGATTATTATGCAGCTAAATTCCCTTTTCTTCCTGATAGACTTAAAAACCATCCTTTCCTAATACAGCATGCCTGACTCATTGTAAGCTTAACAGACACGCAATTTTGAAATGCACATAAATCCTGCTCTGCGATTTAACTTTCAGGAGTTGAACACTACTTGTTCTCAGTGTCTATCTTAACTATTTTGCACAGCTATTTCCTATTCCAGTTTCTGTATTTTAATAGCAGAAAGACCAACTGTTTTTACTCACCCTTTGGATTTTGGAGACTTGCATCCTGCTAGCAATTGCTGTTCATCATCTTTACTGAACATAGATGTCACTTCCTTCCAACCCCGGAAACTTGCACCTTGAACCTACACAGAGAAGTAAACATCCTCATGAATGTGAATTACAGAGTTACAAGCACAGAGTAGGGCTATCCTTGCTGACTCTAGGTGGCTGACAGGCAGCAGTGGCACTGCCTCTGCTGGGCTATGTTGCTAGGAGCACAGTGGCTCTATACAGCTTGCAGAGGTTGGCCAAAGAACAGGCTGGGTTAACTGCAGCAAGAGCTCTTTCCTGCTGAGCACAGAGTATAAAACCTTGCTGGTTTGCAGAGGCTGGCAAGTGATGTTGGTGAGGACAGCTGGGCTCCTGGATGCTATTCTGCAGGCACAAGCTGCTGGCTCCATTTTAGTATATGACTCCAAGAAGTGAACCTAGACAGCTTAGGAAACAGGCTAAGGAGCTGCGCTAAACAGATGAAACACTGCTAGAAAGGGCCACAACAGACAGGACTGAATTATGAAACTTTTAAGATTTAGCCTGCTTTTCACTCAACACTCCTATTTTCAACTCACCAAAACTACATCTTCTGGCCTTGCAAGCAAAAACCGCAAGAGCACTGGCTCACCAGTGACATGTAACACGTGGCACTGGTGCGCTACAGTGTGTTCTCTACATTTACCGCAACCATTAAAAATATAGCATAAATTACCTTTTCAATTTTGTTAGAGGTTTGATTCGCTCTTCCCAAAGTGGAAAGAAAAGGTATTGGGGTTTTCATTCTCACAGCACACTTAGGGACTCTAATAGAAATGCATGCATACATGCATGCTGAACACATGAATATGAAAGTTGCTGTTCTATCAAGCAGGGTCTAGTAAGAATGGCAGCATGACAGTCTGTCAGTAGTACTTGATTACATTAAAAAATGCAACAATATCTTATGATGTATAATAAACAATCAAAACAAAATTGTAGTTGCCAACATGAGTGAAGGCTCATTCATCACCTATTATTATGCTTCATTCTTTTTGAAGAACTTATTGGTGCATATTAGTATCAACTTGACATTTACATTTTAATTGATTACAGTTTATAAACGGTACAGCCACACAAACGTGTGAAACACCACCTGCAAATTGAGCACAAACACCCGACAGGAATATAGTGTTACTGCTAACCCTTCAACTCTTCAGAAACCCACGATCTCTACCACAGGAGTAAACCAGCACCCTTGTTATCGCACATTAGTCATGGAGTATTTCCATCTCTTGTTCTCCTGTTTCACTATGTCCTGTACCTTCACTTCTCACCCACCTTTCCTACTCACATCTCTGAACCACCTCAGCTGATCTGACTCAGGAGGCATAGCAGGTCCTTTTTAGGATTAGGAGGAAGGTCTGACACAGACTCAGTTTCACTTTGGTTAGATACAAACAAGTATCCATCTTTGGGCAAAGCTCTGGAGAACTCTGAAGATGGAAGGCTGAGCAAGCTGAGAATAATTTCCAGCTCTTGTTCATGGGATACGGACAGACTAGGTACACGAGAGCTAGGTTCACCACAACCACAACTCTCTTAACTGCTCTGCTCACCTCCTCCTAAACTCATGCCTAATCTTACCATAACCCACAGCATTCCTCATGGCTTCACAAGAAAAGCAACAGTTTCTATATATTTTTTTTTCACTGTGAGAATAAAGTGAGTGCAGATTATAATAAACAAACCCTTACATTTAATTTAATGTTTATTTTTGATTAAGTTAAAAATATGTAAGCAGTGAACTTCAATTTGGTGTCCCTGTGGCAGACTCACCATACCCTTCTCACAGAAGACTGGTACTGTCAATGGTATAGAACAGAACCACACAAGCTGCTGGTGATACCTTGCTATACAAAATTCTTGTGCTTAAGCTAACAGCCCCTCCAGGCAGTACTCAACATTTAATGCTTCTGTGGTGTAAATAATGGTCTAAACCCTCAATCAAGGCCTAATGCCATTATCTGGTTTTGTTGTTTGGTTAAATTCTGTAACAAGTTTAACATGAGGAACTGTAACTCCGATTTGGCTTCGTTTCACTACAAGGCACTTCATCTACAACAAACTTTCAAAAACAGGAAGAATGCCCAAGAAGTTACCTGCTGAAGTCATCTGTTTAAAGAAAGAAAGAAAGGGGGGAAAAAAAGAAGAAACTCTAGAAAGAACTTAGCTTTTCATCTGTTAAAAAACAAACACTTCATCTTCTGTTCTCCTACTCAAACTCTACTATTTCAGGCCTTTTGGGAAGAAACATTTGCTACCGCAGGCAAACCCACAGTTAGAAGCAGCACATAATTCTTACTGCTTAAATCCTTTAGGTCTTTAAACTGGAAAAAAGGCCCAAATATACATCAGTGATCTAATTTATACCTATGCATGTCTCTCTTCACTAATGATGTTTCATCAAGCCACTGACACATAATAAGTCTGCAGGTTAAAACAAAACCAAAACAAATAGCCAGCAACAAAAAGAAACAAACAAACAAAAAGGCCCCTAACAACAAATAAACACCTTGTTACTGTTTTTCAGACAGCAACTTATTACAGAGAACTAGTTTATTTTAAATTATATGTGCCTTTACAGAACAGCATTAATGTAAGACTATTTGGAGAGAAGCATTCATACATACACTTAATGCAGAAAAAGACTCGGTGTAAAAAAAGAATACACCTACCCATACACTTCCCTTTAATCTAGAACCTCATGCATACTTCACTGATACAACTCCAACCTTTGCTGCAGTGTTTCGGACACCCAAGCAATCCTCCAGCCAGAAAAACAAACAAATGCCACCAAAACCATCTCCTAATAAAATCATATCAATATCTTGCCACAAGCTTTCCATATTTTTAACTTCAGATATTTTTAATCATAGAATAGTTAGGGTTGGAAAGGACCTTAAGATCATCTAGTTCCAAGCCCCTGCCATGGGCAGGGACACCTGATACTAAACCATGCCACCCGAGGCTTCGTCCAACCTGGCCTTGAACACCACCAGGGATGGAGCATTCACAACCTCCCTGGGCAACCCATTCCAGTGCCTCACCACCCTCACAGTAAAGAACTTCTTCCTTATATCCAATCTAAACTTCCCCTGTTTAACTTTTAACCCGTTACCCCTTGTCCTATCACTACAGTCCCTAATGAAGAGTCCCTCCCCAGCATCCCTATGGGCCCCCTTCAGATACTGGAAGGCTGCTAGGAGGTCTCCACTCAGCCTTCTCTTTCTCCAGGCTGAACAGCCCCAAATTTCTCAGCCTATCTATCTTCATATGGGAGGTGCTCCAGTCCCCTGATCATCCTCATGGCCTCCTCTGGACTTGTATCAACAGTTCCATGTCCTTTTTATGTTGAGGACACCAGAACTGCACACAATACTCCAGGTGAGGTCTCATGAGAGCAGAGTAGAGGGGCAGGATCACCTCCTTTGACCTGCTGGTCACGCTCCTCTTGATGCAGCCCAGGATACAGTTGGTTTCTGGGCTGCAAGCACACACCAAAGCTGACCCATGTTCATTTTTTCATCGACCAACACCCCCACATCTTTCTTCTCAGGGTTGCTCTGAATCTCTTCTCTGCCCAACCTGTAGCTGTGCCTGGGATTGCTCTGACCCAGGTGTAGGACCTTGCACTTGGCATGGTTAAACTTCATGAGGTTGGCATCAGCCCACCTCACAAGTGTGTCAAGGTCCCTCTGGATGGCATTCCTTCCCTCCAGCGTATCAACCGAACCACACAGCTTGGTGTCATAGGCAAACTCGCTGAGGGCGCACTTAATCCCACTGTCCATGTCAGTGACAAAGATGTTGAACAAGACTGGTCCCAACACTGATCCCTGAGGGACGCCACTCGTTACTGGTCTCCAGCCGGACACCGAGCCATTAACGACAACTCTTTGTGTGTGGCCATCCAGACAGTTCCACCCATCCATTTGTGTGTGGCCATCCACCAAGTGGTCCATCCATCAAATTGATGTCTCTCCAATTTAGAGACAAGGATGTCATGTGGGACAGTGTCAAACGCTTTGCACAAGTCCAGGTAGATGACATCAACTGCTCTACCCCTGTCCATCAGTTCTGTAGCCCCATCATAGAAGGCCACCAAATTGGTCAGGCAGGATTTCCCCTTAGTGAAGCCATGCTGGCTGTTACCAACCACCTTGTTGTTTTTCATGTGCCTTAGCATGCCTTCCAGGAGAATCTGCTGCAAGATTTTGCCAGGCACAGAGGTGAGACTGACTGGTCTGTAATTCCCCGGGTCATCCATTTTCCCCTTCTTGAAAATGGGGAAAATTTAATTTCATTTAGCCTGATGCTGACTAACAGATATCTTTAAGAACAATTATTAGAGACGTTCTATTCAGCATCAGGCAGATAGTATGTGCAGGTCTCCAGATAAAATTTACAAGCTCTGTACTCTTTCCCCCTGGATGTAAATCAGTATGTATATTCCTATTGTACCATTCCTTCAATATTTCCATAAGTAAGTAGGCCCACGATGGATCCATGGCATTTGGTAGGTATATACAAGGGTAATAACTACGTAGCAGATTCTAACTGATATATTCTTCTCTCTACTAGTCCTTAGTGGAAATGTATACTAAACCTTTAAAAAATACTTCCCCTGTGTATTTATTTGGGGTTTCCAAAGCAAGCACTGCCAGGTTCATCTACGTAAGAGCATCAATGTCTAAGCAGACCATATTTTGCTAATATCTGATAAAGCTTATTGCACAAAGCCTATTGCATATTAAATGCACTAGTCTGAAAGAAACCCTTTAAGTGCAAGAGTAAAACCAGGACCTCTGCCTATTACACCAGCATGGCTCTTCTGAAGCATCTTTTCACTCAACTGAAAAGGAGAGAACAGCTCACTCTTGGTAGTCTTCCCAGTGGTACAATACTTAAGAATATAAACCTTAACAAAAAAGGAGGTCAAATACTTATTTCGCACTTCCATAAGCTTTTTTCTAACTACTGTTTACGGCAACAATCTTTGTGACTACAGCTGTCACATAACTTTGTCATGTGCTACAAAAAGAAAAAAAAT